AAGAGGGAGAGTAATGTTACTCTCTATACGGTAAGCCTTTCCTTCATATTTTCTCCGACACTTATCCGCCAGCCCGGAGGGCCAGTGTAACTCGAAAGACAGAAAAAGAGAGAGAGAGAAAGCTTTATGTTTGCCGCGATTCAGGTTCAGCCTCGTCATTTACGCCGAACTCGAGCTCGCGCATTTATCACCATTTCATGCAAATTCCAAGAGTCGAGTCGAATTAAGTCAAAGAGCAAAGGGAGCGTTATCCGGTAAATCAAAAGAATGATTCTTATTTCTCAGAGCATACCCGCAAGATGTCAGATTTATATCGCGAGATTGGATAACGTTAATGTGTTGGTGAATTGGTAGGTATTATATTTTTAAGATACGTACAAGAAAAATAGAATAAAAATATGTAACAATTTGTTTAAATTCTCGTACGCATTATCCTCGAATAATGAACGATAATAAAATAATGACGGTATATACGCTAAAAAGGCGCCGAGATATCTGAAATAACTCACGCAATGTCGCTGCACAGTTTTATCAAGATGTTACAGGCGCCACTGATGAGTATATATATATATATATATATATATGTATGCCCGTGATTAGTGACTCACGTCGAGCAAAGTCCGACTCATGTCAAACGGACTACCGTGTGAATTATTTGCGATTCGTCGATATCTACATCCTAAGTATTTTCCCAAAGTGAATCGTTTGCAATTTCTTCATAATCGAGATTCACAGGAATCATCTTTGGTAGCCATCGATTCGATATAATCGATTAAGACAATTTTTACCTTTCAATAGAATTATAATTAAATGTTGGATTTAATTGTTTTTAAATTTAATTTCATTCGTTCGATCATATTTTTCGATCGTTTTGTTTCTTTTAATCGTACCGTTAATTAATCGCAATTATAGAATCAATTTTTTTTTCTTTCTTTTTTTTTTTTTTTTTTTTCATCCAAGTAGTATCGATATCTATTAACGCGAGATCTACGGTTGATCGAGTCACAGTAACAAGGCAATTACTGTAACTCGTATGTATCGCAACTAAGTCGTAAACGTATGATCGTTACTCTTTTCTATAGACGTGCCGCCAAAGAGATTAAAAAAGAAAGAAAGAAAAAAAGAAAGGAAAACAAGAAAAACAGAAAAAAATAAAAGGAAGAAAAAAAATGGAAAATACAAAAAGGAAGAATAAAGGTGAATTTATTCCTTCATTAAGAATACGTTCAACTACTTTATAGTGTCATAAGTATTACTAGGAGAAAATGAAATCTGTCTTTTAATAGTTTAAGAAGATTAATACGTCTCGCTAATTTCATCGAAGATATTTATTACCTGCTCCTAGAGTATTATTACGATTATTTAATTCGCCTACCGTGAATCAAATAAGATAGGAAAAATTTCTTAACGACTTTCTATCGATTCTTAATGATCAAATGAGAATTATTAAAATATCGAAATGAGATCGAACGTTATCTTATTAATTTTACATATAATCAATGTTTTATCTAAAATTCGATAGATTTCCCCAAGTAAATTCCTATCCTCTGATACGTCTACTACTATTCTAGGATACGTAATATGTATTAAAGATAACAACGCGATAATACGTTCTACGGATGAAAGAAGATTTCCGTCTGGTTTTTTTTTCGTAAAAACATGTAACTATCGACTAAAAAGAAAATCACGATAAGAGATTCACAAGCACGTTTGTCTACCGTAGCTTGATTCTTCTTTCTCTCTCTCTCTCTCTCTCTCTCTCTCTCTCTCTCTGTCTTTCTCTCTCTTTCTAATTCCTCAAACGTTATCATCGAATTCCTTGACAGAACGATGATTCATTGGCCGATGATTCAATGCCACCGATAGATACTTTCCTTCGTTGCGTGAGATAATCCAAAATTATATCCCTAATCCGCTTACGATTACGCGGGAGCTGCTTTTATCGATATTCTTTACCGCCTACCTGGTACGATCGAATCATATAGAGCCTGTTCGGTGGCCTATCCGTGTTCGAACACCCACGGAAAAGGATCACGAATGATTCACGACGATGATCTCGATCATAGAAACGAATGACTCCGATCCGTCTAAGAAAACATTCGTCATCGATTCTTCGATAGTTACGCTATGTTCGTTCGAATAGAGAAAGCTCCTCTCTCTTCCTCTCGTTTTATTTTCTCTAATATTTTTATTTTATAAGATATTTATGTTTGGTAATGTGACGTGAATAAATGAATTCGATATTTTATCATGGAATAAGATCTGTCCCTAATCGGATTAACAATTACATTATATTAATTGAACGTGCTTATTCGCCTTCTCTTACAAACTTAATCGATGGTTTCATTTTTTTGGAAAAAAATCTCTGCTAGGCTTGCATTCTTCTTCTTCTTCTTCTTCTTCTTCTTCTTCTTCTTCTTCTTCTTCTTCTTTTTTTTTTCCTTTTTTTCTTTTTCTTTTTTTTTTCTTTTTTTTTTCATCGTAGAATGACACCGATCTTTTCTATTTCATAGCTCTTACTTAAACGATATTGCGTGAATAGAATCAATTATTAATGGAAGGCCATGACAAGATGGACTTGTAGGGATAAGAGTAAGAGGGTTAAAAATCACAGACACTATCTTTCGTCTCGGGTTAAACGAATTTTCCATGTCATCAAGTTTAGTCTCTGGATTAGATCAATTTGTGACGGACATATGTACAATGTAGATTATTGTCCTTTTGGAATAATTCTAAATGATATGCAAGAAATATTTTGATTTAATTTTGAAGAAAGGATTCATATTTCGTTGTTCTCGTTCGTAATATCAATATGTACGTTTCTTGAAAAAATAATTTCAATGAAGCCAATATCCTGTTTCTTTCGCACGTGTTCGGGTACGAGGACATTCGCGCAATTCACCGTAAGAGAAAACGCACTTAACATCTCGTCCATTACGGTACGTGAGAAGGCGTGTTTTCACGGCGCGTGAGAGGCGTCTCGACTTCGGGACGGACCAATCGATGATTTCTCGAGAGTCATTAACTCATATAACGAATGATACTGGATCCCCCAGCGTGCTCGTTCGATACCCGCCATGCTGGAAGCTACCGATGTCTATCTACTTGCATTAAGTAAATAGAATCCGTAGAAGAAACGGTTCGAATACTTGTCTCGACCACTTTACTCTGGAAAAGCTAATGTGATATGTTCGGTGAAAGTGTACCAGTTCGTAACTATAGCTCTTATGTTATTTTTCTGATAATAACGTTTCCAAAGAAAGAAAAAAGAAAAATAAATTTAAAAAAGAGAGCAAAAAAACAAACAAACAAACAAAAAGAAAAGAAACGAAGAGAAATGAATGCTTATAAAGATTATATAATCGTTCGATTATTTTCTATCAATTGATGATAACAATGCAATAATGAATAACGATCATAAATGAATGATACGATATAAATGACACGAAAAAATTTGAATGAGAGGTTTGCTAATAGGAAATCTCGCTTCGGTAGGTCAGTAACAGGACTCTTTCCGATGACCAATGATGAGACGTAATTGTTAACCATCGAAAGCAAACGTAGCGAGGGGGAAAAAGGAGAAGATGTTTGACACCTTCCCGATAAGATAGCAAGAACCGATCGTCATCGTGAAGAGTTCGATGACGAAATACGACGCGCCTCTTCCCTTTTGCTTCTACTTTTTTTTTTCTTGGTTTTTTTCTTTCTTTTTTTCTTTTTTTTTTCTTTTTTTTTTTTTTTTTTTTTTTTTTTTTTTTTTTTTTTTTTTATACGAATAGCCGGCGCTTCCTCGGCCATCGATCGCACTTTTATCGGCAAAACTTAAATGCCAATCCAGTCGAACGCGATTCGTCGAGGTACTCGTATCGTATCTCTTATATTTATCACTCGTGTCTGATAAATCTCGTGCGTGAATAATTTTCGTTTCTCTTAAATTATCTGCACTTTGTCAAATAGAGGGAAAAGAATAATCGTACCACGTGGGATATATAAAAATCGTTTGGCAGCGTCGTAACAAGCAGATACACCTCTTCCTACTGTGAAAAGTACGTTTCAGTGTTGCTATTAAAGCTCTTCTTTTCTCGCGAAACGAATTTATGCTAACGAGTGTGGTGGAGCCCGAAGAATGACGAGGTATTTTAATGTTTTGCACGCACGCTGATCCGTTCGTTAAACTTTGAAAATAAAAAAAGAAGGAGAGAAAGAAACTCTCCCTCTCCCTCTCTCTCTCTCTCTCTCTCTCTCTCTGTCTTTTCTTTCATCGTCGTGTAAAAGGTGAAATCACGTCTTCGTGGGTGCATGTGAACGGCATGCACTTTGCGCGGGTGGCAGAATAGAGCGTTTAGAGATTAGAGCGGGTCTTATTTATTGTCAATAAAGTGCCGCTAGTTTTCCCTCACTCTCCCTCTCCCTCTCTCTCTCTCTCTCTCTCTCTCTGTCTCTCTCTTATTCCATTTAGAAATTCAGAAAATCTTTCCATACCTTTGCCAATCCTTTTCAGAGACATCGTCGTCTCCTCGACGACAGATATTCTATGGTAAGACGATAATTTACAGTCGTGTACGTTTGACTTTTATTCGCCGGCATCGTTTTCATTGTACCGCGCGTGCAAGTATTTAGATTGCTATCGATATAACCGATGTAAAGTCCGATTTATGTACGTTGTCACGATATCGAAGATTGTCGCGTGAGTTCAACATTTACATATTCATTTTCTTTGCGATCCAAACAACCAACGCAAATCGTTCCCTCGCGTACAACATCTTTCCCTTTGACGTCCAATGTTCATAATGATTATTGTTTAACTAGCCAATCGTTCTTTCTTATTGAATTTGCGGTTGAAAAAGCCAATGAATGAATCGCGTCGATTATCATTCGTGATTCTTTTTGAACAATCTGAAAAATCAGATTGTTGCGAGAAATTCGATTTGAAAGATGTCATCGAATGATCTTTATATCATTGATTTTCTTTGCAGATAATGTTTAAATTTTCTTTTTAGATCGGTGCGGTAGTCATGTCACGGCCGAATCGACCCGACGGATCACGAGAAATCGACGTGGAGGAGCCCGGAGAAACGGATTATCGGCCGGCCATCCTTGGATTTCGAACCGAGTGAAATCGCACGCGAGAGATCGCCGTTCGATAATAACAATCGAGGATCGATACGTGAATTCGATCCACAAGCTTGGAACCTACGGCCTCCCCGCTGGCCTGGCCAGCTACTATGCGAATTGAAGCTCTCAGCGCCCTCGTCGCGGTGAGTCTACTTTTTTCTTTCTTTCTTTTTCTTTCTTTTTTTTTTCGTTTTTTTTTTTTTCTTTTTTTTTTTATTATTATCTCTTTATCTTTACCGATCTCATCGAAGATAAAATATTTCTCAAGTTATTCGGTTAAATATAGAACATAACGAATTCCAACAAAAATGTCAATTAAACACTTTCAAATAAATTTCATTTCGTAATACGAAGATCTAATTGCTCTGTTATATTTAAGAAAAAAAAAAAAAAAAAAAAAAAAACCAAAAAAAAGGAAAAAACTTATATTCTGTATCCACCGATATACAACATAAATTAATTATTCAAACGAATCAGCAGCGCGTGCTTATCCTTATCAGTTTTGTAAATCGAGTACGATCGGTGGTGTTTAATGCAACAATAAACGCCTCGTGCACGCCCCTTAACGTGGCCATTGTATAGCACACACCTCGAAGGTAAGTACATTGAACGAAACAATAATTACAATATCCAGGCCGGATATAATGAGCATAAATTACCGCCCGTTGAGAGTATTATTAGCATATTATCGAGCTGTCTTATACGGCTCGCCGGCGTTGCGTTGCAAACGCTCGAACGAACATTCACGGATAGAGCTGTAAGTACTTTTCAAGAGCTTCGTCTCTTTCGAATATATACGCGCGCGTGCACGCATGCACACGCACACGCACACACACACAAACACAGACAGACAGACAGACAGACAGATTTCTGTCACGGAACGCATCGATAAACTTTCGAAATTATGGTTTCGATACGACTATCTTTCGTCCTTGGTCCTCTCTCTCTCTTTCTCTTTCTCTCTCCCTCTCTTCTTTTTCTTTCTCTTCTCTTCTCTTTCACTCGCTCGCACGACTTTCTTTCTTTATATCTTTCCACGCAGTTGGGTGTCCTCCTCACATTTTCTCAAAGCCGACTTTTGAATTAGTTAGCTTGACTCTCAAGCACCTCGTAGGCCTCTTGGCACCTGCCCACGAGTTTCTCTCCGTCTCAAAATATTTCCTCACGAGACGTCTCAAGATAAAAGCTTTGATCTTTCTCATCTGCGCAGGTCGTTCAAGGACGTATTCGCAGGTAAATTTGGAACTTTTGATGACGGAGATTCAACAATCGCGCGAGACACGAAGTAGAAGAAAGTTCATTCGATTGAATTTTTGACTTGGATTTTTTGAACTTGAAGTCTTTCAAATAAGCTTCAATGTGGCACAATTCACTATACCTTGATCTTGGTATCTCGATAGAACGATCAATCGAGCGACGTTTATGGTAATCGTGAAAGAGGTTCCCGACTGATCGGGCAAAAGTACGGCTTATAATTTGCAAAGTGGACGTCTTACAAATCAGGAAAGAAAGTAGCTTATTCTAATGAACCGTATAGAAACAATATCTCGATATTGATCTAAAGCTTTAGCTTTGTGAATTAGAAATATTTGTCGATAAAAACGAATCCGTGAATTTTTCCAATTTATCATCGTGAAAATAATTAATTCTCAGTTGCGTTAGGGTTGCGTATGAAAGCTAACAGAAGGGAACTGTTGAGAAACACACGCGTGATTCACACTCCTGACGATCCTCGGTAAGAAATGAACAGGTATCCTTATCGTCATTCGCGTACTTGCTGCTATCTACATAATATTAAACGCTAACGTAAGGATAGGAACGATCGGTAGCTTCGAAGCGTTTGCGTAGCAAACGATATTGATAAACGGCGTTCACATCGTCGTCCCGAACGTGCACATGGATAATTTAATAATGGCAGATTAGCCGACACCGGCAATGTATCTACCAAGTTGCACCTATGAACGAGCGAATGGGCGAATGGCATTAGCATGCTAATCGTTCTCTCGGCACCAATATTTCCAATAAATAATCTCCTTAACGTGATTTCGAACGATCGACGGCGACCTGTTTTTCCGCATCCTTCTGATAGAAACGACGAGACGATAATTCTCGAGAAATTGTCCCATCGCCGATCGACAATTGCTCTTTAAATCACACACGTGTTTCCTAGAAAATTCCTCTTCTGCGTCGCTTCGAGTGCCAACAAGCAACAGGATGTAGCAGCTGTAAAATGTGATCCCGTTTTTCGAGATGAGAGATCGTAGGAGAGATATTGCATTCCGATATCGAACGAGTCGCGATATGATACCTGCGGATCTGCTACAATTATTCCAATAACAGACGAAAGTTCTCCGTGAACGACGAGTTCCAAGATCCACGGTACTACGATAACGATCGTAAATTAGTATTTAGTTGTTTGACGTATTACGTTTCTTGATTTATTTCATATTTTCGAGCGACTCTTTACCGCTTTATCGATTTCAAAGGCACCGTACACGAGAGCGTCTCCCAGACTCATCAATCGTCTACCCACGCAAACACTTCGCGATCGTTGATGATAGCTGTATGAACGAATCCCAAATCGTTCTGTCGTGTTTGACATTTCGATCTTAACCTCTCTCCTCAATAGAGAAAATATATTGCGAATATACGATTAAATTTCTAATATATTATTCAAAGCTTCGAGAAATTGGATCTATTGGATAATAACATATTCGAAATTGATTTGACAAAATTCGAACGTCCAAATACCAAGAAAGTTGAAATAATTCCCTGGTAAATAGTGTTATCTTCGATAGGCGTAAAATGTATTGACAGATAATGACAAGCTTACCAGTAATTTCCATTGCGATTTACCTTTAAATTCGCCGTTGTCTTTGGATTATCATCGGTAGTCGTTCGATTATCTTACGGTAAGTTAAGTTAAGCCATACTCGCAAAGATTTCACAGGGTCGTTTGCAACGTTGTTGCATTTGCATAAGGTTCGATCCCTCCTCCTACCTCCTCCTCCTCCTCTTCCTCCTCTTCTTCTTCTTCTTCTTCTTATATGCTTCTAGAGAATCCAACAAGGTTTTTAGCCTCGAAAGGAGATATTGCCGAATGGACGCCCTTCTCCTATTATCACGGTTGCGCATCGTAGTCATGGAGCCTGTAATTTAAAACAATTCAAAAATAATATATTACAAATCATAGTTGGCTATACAAAAGGAGGTGGATCCATGTTGTTCGCACACGGATTGAACCCTTCCTAACGTTCGAATGATTTACTATATCGTGGGTGGATATTGCCTTTGGGCTTTGATCCTTACGAAGGGATTTTCGCAGTGAGATTCGCGATAGAAAAGGATCCATGAAACGTACCACGAAATACGAGCTCGTAGATCATTCGAAACGCTTTTTTCCTATGTGCTTTTACTCTTTGTATTTTCCTTTATGCGATACTATCCGATATCTTTGGAATGCCCTGCGAAATAAAACTCCTTTCCTACCTGAGGGTGACTCATATTAGCCACGTGAAATAACATGCAACGCTACTTAAGGGGTCAGTGAAGCTATGTTAAACGTCGAGAGGAAAGATTCTGCAAGCTTTACGGACGACAAATTATTGACCAATTGGAATGAACTTTTGTTCACTTTTACAGGCCAATCGTAATACTAGCCGTTGATAGGAAATAATTACCATGTACGATCGTTTATTTCCAATCCAAATGTGCACGTGTTACAAAGTGTAGATGTACGTTTGTATGTTTTCATAGATGAAAAATCAAAATATATATTTAAGACAATATTAAATTAGGAAAAAATAATTTTTAATAGGATGATACCGTATGAATCTCGTAAATAGGTTGGAACATGTGTTGTCGGAAAAAGAAGAAAAGAAGAAAAAATCTGATAAAAATATTCCCACACGATGTTAATTTCAATCAAGCTTCTCTCATTAAAATCTTTCGCTGGACAAGAATATCCAGCAAGTGCAACGGAGTCGAGTAGACGGCAAAGAATTTATGGTCGACAACTCGTTCCCGGCATATCCTCGACCGATTTCGGTCTGATCTCTCCTCCTTCTCGTTGTCGTTCCACACTCTACGTAACGACATTCGGTCGTCCGTAGAGTCTCACGCGGAGCGTAACGAGTCTGTCCACGGGACGTCATTAATTTCTCGCCTGGAGGAATAGAAAAAAGAAGGTCCTGTTCGTGGTGGTCACGCGTGTGTACATCATAAGAGTAGAGAAAGAGAGAAGAAATCAAATGCCTAGATAAAGATAGTAAAAGAGAGAGATATATATATATATATATATATATATATACACACACACATACACACGTGCACGCATAGACACGCTGCTCGCTTCTAGAAGCCGCGTGCGTACGATTTACGCATGAAACGGCAAGGCGACTAACCAAATATTTATACACGTCAATCATAACACACGGCGAAGCGTTCGCTGTCTAAACAGCCCGCGGGCTTTCTCAAGGGATGGTGGGGTGAGAAAGAGAAAGAGATAGAGAAAGAAAAGAATACAGTGGTAGACCGGTCATCGTCGTACGAGCCACTCGGTAGCGTTCATTGTGCTGGAGCACAACATTCGAGGACCTTTCATTTCTTCTTACTATCTCTAACAGGCACTCGATAGTAGCCGTTTGTCATGGGCTCTACACTGTTTGCTTTTCCACGAGGAAAAATCCTCCTTGTCGAAGGCTCTCGTGCTTCGAATAGCTACGCTACCATTCGAGAGGAACGGAGTAATATCCTTACAACAGGTTCCAACGTTTCTCATTCCAGCGACAGGACCTTCCCTTCCGACGCGTGCGACGCGTGCCAATCCGAAAGACACGCGATACGATTTAGTATTATATATTCGTTCTAACGAGCATTATATAATCTTCAAATACATTTATCAATATTATAATATTAACTATGTAAACGATTCTGCGAGACATTCTTTACTTTTGGGGGGGAGAAAAAAAGAAAAAAAAAAAAAAAGAAATCCCTGACAAATATTTCGAAGTGAAATGGTTAAATATAATATCAAAAATGATGAAGAACTCAAGAGTGTCTCTTTCTCCATTTCGCAAAATGTGCCACAATGACGGAAGGACGGTGTTGAAATCACCTTTGGCACTTTGCAATAAGTCGAGAGCACTGGGTCCTTCCCATAACGCGTACAATGACTATGCTAATGATACATCGGAGATGTTGCATTGGCAACGGCTGAGTAAATACACGAGCTGCTCATCTTCCCTCGGTTTATCTTGTAAACTATTGTTAATTATTGCCAAGGCAAAGGTTAATAATGCGTATCCGTCTTTCGACATTTTTCTTGGACTTTAATTCGGCATGAATCGCCATTCAAGCGCATGGGCGATTACAATTATTGATTATTAAATATCGTACGATGAATAACTTTCTCATACGAACGAAATGATAATTCCTAAAAGAGAGAAAGAGAGAGAGAGAGAAAAAGAGTGCTCCGAAGATGACTAGAATTGGTGAATCTCCACTAATGTTCCGTTAGATTCTTACGTCGTTAAGTGCGTCGTTAAGTTTGATTTACAACGGACTCACAAGCTCTTGCTTGTTAATAATAATTACACCGAAATTCGTTGGAGGAATGTCGCTCCAAGTTATGCTATGCTAGAGATTGCATTATTACGACGTCCGATACAAAGAGATACGTATGTACATATGTATGTATGTATATATACATATATATATATATATACCCTGCCAACCTAGTCTACCTGCTGCTAATACACGACGGCATAGTTTCCTAACACAAAAACGGTAACTCGTGGAGACTAATAAATTATTACTTCGTGCTTGTCCAATCGCACTATCGTGCCGACGAACGTGTGAAAAATTTGCGGCCAATAGAAAGGAGAGAATGCTTTTCAGGCATTTGTTGTTCACCTAACAATCTCCGTTCCGATGGCGTTGTAGAATTGTGAGTTTATCGCTGCTAATGTTGTCATGGCGTCTCGATTGAATTTCCATTAGTCTTTATATATCGAATGTGTTTGTTCTATCAGTAAAAGGTCAACGACCTTTTTTTTTTTTTTTTTTCTTAAATTACGTTTCTCTTTAAAACGTTAAATTCAATCTCGATGTAACATTCCAAATAAATCAAACGACAATTTACTTTGGTTATCAATGTTCCCGTTAATTGGACAGTTTTAATTTAGTACTTTCTATTCGTAACATTTATAAAAAAAAAATAAAAATAAAAATAAAAATAAAGAAACTTTATCGCGTCATCGGTTAAACGCAAAAATTCCAAAAATTTCAATGTATTCGTACATGAATAAAATGCAATGACGTGCAATGCGTCAATCGGATAAATCGAGATCGAGATCAATGCACCGAAATACACGGTTCGGATGGATCCCACACGCCTTGCACGTAAGAGATCGGATGGCATGGAGAAACATAAATACGTCCGGCGATAAGCAGCGGCCTTTTCAATACAAGTCCCGGTTCTTTGAATGTTATCGGTTCACCCTATATGTAGGTATGTATCTGAAACGCAATGAGGCCGAGCACATTCCAGGACTCGTGAGATACGAGCTTGGGACTGGTCCTAGAAGCCAGAACCAGAGACCACCGTACTGCCCTCGGTAACATTATGGTCCCCTAATTACGCTACAAATTACTTTTACAACGAGCACGTCGTAAAACATTCTTTTCGTCTCATGGAAATGATCTCAAGTGGTAGACGTCGTTTAAAAATTTGAAGATTCTATCGATTTAGAAAGACGAAAAATGGAACAAAAAATAATCAATATAAGTGATGTAATTGATTTTAATATAAAAAAAGTTCAAAGTTTTTCAAAAAATTTCATCGAATCTCGTCGAAATATATTTACCATAGAAAATCAAAGTTTGGAATTCTCTAAACTCGATCGTCGTCGATCGGGAATTTACGAGCTACGTAATCGATAATATTTTTCTTTCACAATCAGTGCGTGAATTCTGGCCGTAGAATTCTACTCTTAAAAGCCAAAACGAGTTTGCAATCCAGATGCCGTACGTTACGTTTACCTTCGTACACTCGACACATCGCGACTGTAAATCTTTATCCACAGAATTGATAATAATCGGGGAGAAGGTAGTAGAGAATTGTTGGACCGTCATTAGTTAAAATTGCCAGACGATCGGCCAGTTGGTGCGTGTATCACGAACGATGAAATGAATGCTCGCTCGTGTTGCCAAAGCTCGCATCTTGCGATGATGTATCGCAAGAGAAAAAAAAAAAAAAAAAAAGAAGAAGAAGAAGAAAAAGAAGAAGAAAGAAAGAAAGAAAAAAAGAAAGAGAAAAGAAAGACGAAGAGACAGATCAATCCCGTTTTTCGACGAACGTCCGACAGACGCGTTACCGAGATCGAACTGGAACGAAACGTCGTTGATAGCTTAATTAGCATAATCTCGAGTCAACGTTAAAGAGTCTTGGGAGGGACAATGTTTAAAGCACGTTTAACTTTGCCAGAGATATTGACCGGACGATATAATGATTTGAATCGAAGGAGATTGGGCGTTAAGAAAATGGCATAAAGAACGGGACATTTCCTTTCGACGTCGAATAAATACTGAAATATATTCCCCCTTATCTCTTTTTCTTTCTCATTCTGAAGTAGTAATTAAGGATAAACATCGTTGGGAATCGTTTGGCATGGGGCATGGCTTGCGATACGTTCATATAAGTATCGATTAAAATCGCAGCAATGCCAGTCGAACGGAGAACTCTTTCGCTCGTTCGAATGATGCAAGAATCCGATAAGGATCCGAGAACTCGATGTGTGGCCGTTGCCGCGTGCGTGAATATCCGTTTAATCTGAACGCGACTCTCTTGCCTTCTCGATGAGTTCCTCGTACGGGAGGCGCCAGTTAGTTAACCGTTCACCCCCAAAGAACGATGGCTCAATTAAGCTCTTACAGGAACGACTACTATCTCTTGTTGTACCATTTCTATAAATCTTGGAAGGATGCGACACGATCTTAGTCTCTACGTCTCCTCACTCTTTCAACCGGCGGCTCGAGTTTCAAAGCGTGTACTCTCTCTCTCTCTCTCTCTCTCTCTCTCTCTCTTTTAATTACACCAATGACGGCTCTAACTTGCCTTCCTGTAACTCGATAGACAGATATTACGCTTTCTTACGACGAAAGGTTGTTGGCTTAGTCGATCCTTCGTCCGTCATGATGTTATTTATACCATCTACATTTATGTAGTTAATAACTATAGATTTACAGATATATATATATAGTTTTTTAATCGACAGATATAGAGACATTTGATTCCTCACGTAATTGAATAATTAATATTAATTCTTGTTATATTACTATATTAATTTATAAGTATATATTTCATTTTTATCGGTTAGTCGAGACGATAACGTTTTCAATTTATTACCAAGAAAGTGATAGCATTAATATTACCTTCGGAACGTATACCTTTCTCGCAATATTTCGCTACGCTTCAACTACGTAAAAAAGAACAAGGGTGTTGCACGTGCACAAAATATCGTCCGACCTATTATATAGTAATTATCGCTCAAGGCGTTATTCATTTTACTTTATATCCGTTTAACCTTCACAATGATGAAAAAGGGAATCCTACCGTGATGCTGCAGAAAAACGAAACACCAGTTTCTGGTTGCAGAGTTACGTAGCGCAATTAAATCGAAAGTATACAAGAGAAAGGGGAAAAAGGTGAAGAGAGCCGAGTAGAAAGGGACAGACCTTCGTGAATGAAGAACGCCGAGGCTTTGCCGTGAGGCCTGTTTTGCATAAAAATTATAAGCCGAATTAATGTTTTCACCTCCGTAAGCTCATACGCGTACCGTACGGCCGATGCGTGACTAACGTCGTGCTTTATTACACAGGTTCGCCTTTAATCTCCTATCTCTTGTACTTTCTCACGCTTATTCTTCTCCTGACATGTTAAAAACATAAATCGATATACATATATATATATATATATATATATATATATATATATGTATATATATATATACATATGCATTCGATTACCATTGTGGCGAACTCCTATAAAATTTCAATTCCTTTCGAGAATGCTTTCAAAAATAATAAGCTAGAAAACGAAAGACATTTGACGATGACAATGCTCACATTATATCATCTTTTTATTCGCAGGTGGTTTGGCTGACCGCAGTCCTGTGCCCGCGGCTTGCTGCCGCCAACCTCACTTTATCCTTTTCCTCTCGTAGATCCAGAGAGCATCCCTTCAGAGGACATATCTCTCGCTGGTGAGTATTGAAAATGATTCAAATTATTTTTCTGATAATTAATTACTTCGTTTATATATACGACTTATGTATACGTAATAATTTTCAGGACGGTGCCATTGGAAGACACGAACAAGCGAATGACGTACCGTGAGATGCAGATGGTTCTGCGCCAGGAGGGAGGCGAAGATGGCCTCGCAGTCGACTGTTGTCCCACGATAGAGGAAATGGTCGAGCCCGTTGGCGGTCGAAATCGGCAAGATATGTACGTCGAGCTCTATCGAGACGGCGAAAATGCCCAGAGGTTCTTCGAGTACTCCTGCAGGCCAGACGTCCTCGATAAGCCCTGCAGGTTCGTTGACCGGAAGCTTAGTAACCAGTCGAGATGCGTGCAGAAATTCTCATACACCTACGCTATCGTCGAGAATCCTGGAACGAAGGTACAGAAAACATGTGTGTCGACATTAACATTTCTTAACAAAGAAATCTCTATTTAATCGTATACTCATTGAATTATCTAATACGTATATACGTATGTAATTATATGCACATGTAAATTAAAACGTTAAAACATGTATTCATTTTTTTCAGGGAGGCTCCGAAGAACATAGGAGGCACCATCACAGGGAACACAGATTTCCAACGTTTCCTGGAAACACAGTGAGCGGGTCAACGTGGACGTTGGACTACATCAGGGTAAGAAGCGGCTGCAGCTGCGAGATCATGCCGAAGCCGAAAAAGAGGAAACCCATGGCGACAAAGGCGAGAAAAGCGAAGAGCAAATTGCGCCAACAAAGAGATCAAGACTCAGACTTTGAGACGTGAGACTCGTGTTTGGTCGAACTGCAATATGAAAAATAAAATGTTACCAGTGGTCGGTTCGCTGATCGCAGACAAAAAAAAAGACGTTTTAGCACGAGTAACGCCATATTTTCGATGTTATTCCGTTTATATATATATATACATACACATACATACACACACACACACACACACACACACACACACACACATATATATATATATAAAACATCGTACATCGTTTAATAATTTCATATTCGCTTAACCATTGCATATTTATTGATAGTAATTTACATTGAAATATTGAAAAGGAAGTCAATTCGTATCTTTGTACTACCATAAACGAATGATGAATTAAACGTAATAATGTCGAATGTGTTACAATCGAAATACGTTTCCTAACTCGAAATACATCGTCTACTTAATTTAATATCTTAATTGTAAGAACGATTATTCTATTTCTTATTTTTCTCTTTTTATTTTTCTTTCTTTCTTTTTTTTTCTTTTTTTTTTTTTTTTACTTACTCAACAAATTTATATTATGTATTTTCTATGTGCATATTATAAAATTGTATCTATTTTTAATTAAGGAACTATCTATAAGAAAAAAAATACGATTAGTTATAACGTTTAAGGTATTTGTGTTTCATAGATCTGGGGCGCTTCCTGTTTTAATTCTTTTGTTTTGTTTCTTCCTTTTTTTCTTTTATTTTTTTTTTTTTTTTTTTTTTTCGTTCTATAGGAAGACTTTTTCTCTTTCAAGAAGAGCCGAACGTAGTTTCTCTAGAACACACGCACTTATTTAATTCTTTACAATTATAATATTTAATTATAATTATTAGATGTTCTTTCATAAGGTGCTGTATAGAGAAATGAAATGGTATAGAAAGCGAGGTGTTGACTTTGCGATAGCCATGACAACTATTAACAAATCTGATTACTTTAAGGACATAAATCAAAAGTTACTTTCGTTAGATGTGAACTAAAGTATTGTTTATTTTTTTTTTTTTTTTTTTTTTTTTTTTTTTTATTTGAGCATAGGTATATGTATTAGTCGATTTCTAAAGAAATGTATCGTATCGTTTAAGTGTATATGTATGAATGTATGTATATGTAATAATTGAGATCAATCTAATCTCAATATTTTATAATATTCGGTCTATAATAGGTTCATATTGTCATTTGAAAATTAAATAAAATGTTTTTACTATTCGAAAATGAACGTGTGTGTGTATGTACATATATATATATATATATATATATATATATATATATATATATATATATATATGCATATGTACATGATAAACAATCGATACATTTCTATGCCTATAGTATTTTTAATTAACGCAGATCCTTAAGTATTCGTACTGTTCTACATTATCGTAATTGTCGTATTAATAGATTTAATAAACTAGCTACGGCTTAATTATATTCATGTATGATACATAAAACATAGGGCTGACAGAATATTTTCTGTATTGCCATGTAAACATTGTACATAAACGTCATTAAATACAGTTGTTATAAAACATGATTTTTCTAATGGATCTTTATGCATAAATATGTTTCGATCAATAACTCATATTTAATAATTATTGAAAATTTTCATTTCATCTAAAAAAAAGTCAATTTTAAAAATCCTATGCTAAATTTGAAAATCTTTTGCTAAAAATTAATTTATTTATGATTTAAAATAAATAAATAATAAATAAAAAAAAAAAAAATAATAAGAAACTATTCATGAGTAAATTTCCCTGAGAAATTTACTCGTGGTCTTCTATTAATTAATTACAATCGATCATTCATGTCAATTCGGATCTTTCGTTCTCGACATGATTGAGTGATGAAATTATGAGAAATACGATTTGTTTGAAATTCGCGCGGAAAATCATATCGCGTCGTTACACATTGAATGCATTCAAAAACGAGAGCGAAGATCTTTAAGAGATACTACCGATTAAATTGACGATTGAATTACGAATTTAAATACTTGCCATCGCGTTAAACGTTTCTTATAATAATACAATATATAAAATATAAATATGAATTAAACATTTTGATGTGAACAACTGTACAAATATTTCCTTATTTTTACCATAGATTACCATAGATACATTTGTTCAATGCTAATTAAAATGCTTGAATGAGTTACCGTAATTTCTTCGTGTGAGCATTGTGAAATCAGTTTCCTTGAGTTTAAAATAGAACAGAAGATCTGAATATCGACTTACGCAGGAAATAAGCGAGGAATCGTTTTACTTCACAGGAACAAAATACGCGACATTCAAGTGTTTCTTTGAAAATCAGTAGTGGGGATAGGAGCTTCTTCTCATTGCCGCAAAGCTCAAAGGGGAGCGCCACTATACAGAACTTTTTTTTTCCACAAAAAAATGTTTACGCCAACAATGACTCCAAGTGTAATCTTTGGCGGATCTTAATGCAAAAAGTTTTATTTTCAAAATGACGATTTAAATGAGGACATTGCCTTTTCGAATTTTTGAATAAGTTTGATTTTCCGTAAAATAAAAAATTCACGTCAAAAAATGATATTTCTTCTGGAATAGTTTGTGCATAAAAATAAAAGCTTTTTGAAAAATTCGATAAACCCATATCCTCGTTTTAAATCTTCGTTTTTAAAAAGAAATCTTGTTTATCGATATAGATCCAAGAATTACGCCTGTACTCATTGTCGTTGTAAATCAGAATGAACGATAAAAAGAAAAAATCTTAAATTGATTTAAATCGATGCTTCCTCATTGCTAAAAATAAAATCGAATCTATTATTATCATTAATTATATTTATAGAAATAACTGTGTACCAATCGAAACTCGTAACATTCGTTGAAAGGAACGTGGTGTCGTTAGAATCGCTTTATAAGGGCCCGTTCACAACGTAAGAATAAAAATAAGAATTGTAAGCGGACTTTAGAAAAACGTATCTAGGAATAAATGCATTTTTGATTATCTCTGTGAAAAAAACAAAAAGTATCCTTGCATTCCATGGTGGATTTAATTTTATCTAGTATTAAAGATTTGGGGTGACATTGGTCGCGTGCACATGCATGCATTTACCGCAACGTATGCATACTGCACGCTCTAGCAGGGCGTATACACGCAATGTCATACGATATACATGAAACTCATTCGTTTTCTTTAACGGCCGATTATCGTTATCGTTGAAAACACAATTTTGTAAATTTAACGATCGTTCGAAGAGCCATAAGAAAGAGAAAGAGATAGAGAAAAGTGACCGTACGTGTGTGTGTGTGTGAGAGAGAGAGAGAGAGAGAGAGAGAGAGAGAGAGAGAGAGAGAAAAGAACGCAAAAGAGAGAGGGGGGAGAGGGAGCGACGAGAAAAATGGAACACTGCTGAGAGGCACGGCGCCTTAGTATATATTTTGTTGATACACGATACGCGGGTGAATAAATGAAACGGGGCAATATATCGAGAAATATTACGTTTCCTGCGTGAAAATGTCCACGGAAACGTCATTGGGCGACGTGCCGAATGTCGTCTCGAGGATACACAATTTACGATTGGGCCACGAGGATGGCGAGGAAGCCCATAATGGAAATAACGCAGCGGTCGATGAATCCGCAAATTCGGCGCAAAACGGTCAACCGATTGGGACTCTCTCTCGTGCTCGGCGTGCACTTAACTTTGTCTGGGACGAAGAACAGCCTACCACTTCTTCTACCTCGCGAGGCATTGATATTTCATCGTCGAACGGTGATAAGTAAGTATATTTTTATTTTTATCCATAGTTCTATAGATGTCAATGATTATCAAATATATCTGATCTGATTAGATATAATCGAAATATTGCCTTAGCATGTAATGTTAAAATATGTTTGTTTTGTTTTATCAGCAGGCCTCCAACTAATGCAGCTAATACGATCCACATCGATGGACATCCTCAAAATAATGTAGCATTGGAGAATAGCCATGGCTCGGCTGTGGCTACATACAATTGGCAGGGTACGAAAGCTACAATGCGCGAGAGGATAGTTTTCCTATTTAACAACGAGATACTGTCCGACGTTAGTTTCTTGGTAGGACGAGGGGCTCAACAACAGCGTATTCCGGCTCACAAACTAGTCCTGTCTTCTGGAAGTGCCGTATTTTATGCAATGTTTAACGGAACGCTTGCTACAGCTTCTTCGGAAATAGAAGTACCTGATGTAGAACCTGCTGCTTTTTTGGCAGTGCTTCTTTTTTTATATACTGATGAAATACAAATAGATCCTGAAACTGTGATGACAACGTTGTATACTGCTAAGAAGTATGCCGTTTCTGCTTTAGAAAAGCACTGTGTCGATTTTTTGAAGAATAATTTAACCAGTGACAATGCTTTTTTACTTTTAACGCAAGCTCGTTTGTTCGATGAACCTCAATTAGCAGCTGTCTGCTTGGATACTATCGATAGATTTACAACAGAGGCCCTAAACGCAGATGGATTTGTGGATATTGATATCGATACATTGATGGTTGTTCTTGAAAGAGATACGCTTAGAGTCAGGGAATCTAAAATATTTCAGGCTGTGTTAAGGTACACGTAATGATATCCGATAATTTTCACATAACGTCCTGTGAGTAATAATATTATAACACTTATTATAGATGGTCGGAGGCAGAATGTGTAAGACAGCAGTTGCCAGTTGTTCCAGAGAATCAACGTTTGGTTTTAGGCAACGCACTTTCTTTAGTTCGTTTTCCTCTTATGTCTAAAGAGGAATTTACTGCGGGCCCAGCACAATCGGGATTATTAAATCATTCTGAGGTTAGTATTATAGCTGTTTAATACTACACATTGATTGAGAATTCATTCTATTGAATGCATTTTTCTTCTAGGTTCTATCTTTGTTTTGTTATTTCATATTGAATCCAAAACCTACGGTAAGCTTTCAAACGATGCCACGTTGTTGTATGACTGGCAAAGAGCAAACTGTCTGTAGATTTCAGCATACCAAAAGTAAATGGGGTTACAATGGAACAAGTGATCGTATCAGGTATATATACTTTTATACATAATGAATGAACATTAAGCGTTTCATAAAAAAAAAAAATTCACAATAGATTTAGCGTGGATCGGCGAATATTCCTTATCGGTTATGGAGTTTATGGCAGCATGCATGGACCTGCGATATACGAGGTATTAGTGGAGCTAATACATACGGCATCAGGAAAAGTAATTGCTTCGAATTCAACGACATTCAGTTGTGATGGTTCAAAGTATACTTATCGTCTAATGTTTAAAGATTTAGCTGAAATTTTACCAAACACTATTTATACAGCATCCGCAACATTTAAGGTGGATATATTATGATGATTATATTAATCTATAATTTTAATGTAATATTTACGATTCATTTTTGTATTCTACACTTTGAACTTTGTTGCAGGGTCCCTATTCTCATTATGGAACAAAAGGTGTGAAAACAGTATTGGTTGATTGCGATTCTGGAAATGGAAAAGTAAAATTTGATTTTAATATCGAAGCTGGTGATAATAATGGAACTTCCGTCGAGGAAGGACAAATTCCTGAGCTTATCTTTTACACTTAAGAAATCCCGTGGACACAATTATAACATTCCTCCTTTTACCTTATTCATCGCTCTGAATCGATTATATACAAATTGAATTGTATAAAGATATATATATATATATATATATATATATATATATATATATATATATATTTCTTTTTTTTTCGATCGATTATATATATTTTACGGATGTCAAATAGAGTGATATAGTCAGCATGAATAGTCCACGAGCATGCCAAAGGATTAAGCAAGTTTAAATTTTGTTGTTAACATGGTGTCTTCGATTTATATTAAGGGATGCAGCTTTTGCTTAAGCTTTATTCTGTTTACAAATGGTGCTTAGATCCTTCTGTATCAAACTGAGCACTGGGAATGGAACTTGTGAGTCTTAGGAGGGCCTTATTAGAAAAAGAGACTGATCTGTGCCACTGATACATATTCAAATGCAAAGTAAATATTTTACCTTTTCATTATCCAATTAATCAAAATTAATTCTGCAATCAATATCAATTCTTACAACTGAAGACAATCTGTCTATTTTTCTATCCCTTTGATTAGTGTATATTTGAGACAAAAGAAGATAGTTAAAATAGTTGAAAAGAAAAAAAATAAAACGGACAAAGAGAGAGAGAGAGAGAGAGAAAGGTTTGGTTATTTAAACAAAATATCAATGCAAAATGATTCTTTCCAATAAATATATATCTTGATTGAAAATAATAAATAAAACAATACATATATGCAATGTATCTCAATGCAAAGCAAGAATAACAGAGCCTAATGCTTCTGAAATATTTTTTAGTAAAAATTAGTTTTAAGAAGAACCTCATATCGATTTTGGAAAGTATGCAGTATTCTTTGTATAGATGTATTTCACAATCTAATATCAAAAAAGATAATAAGAAAGACAGCAGGTATTAGAGAGAATAATAAAAAAATTAGATCATTAAGAAACTACAGACATGTTTAAATATTTCTTGAGATCTAATACAAAGGTATGTTCATCAATTTCGAATGTTTTATCAGTCATTATGACAATTGTCTTGTCATTATGATGTTACACCTAACATTATTAAATTTTTTAGTAAAAAATTGTTCTAAAATATCTCTACACATTCTTATAGAAAAAATAACAAGGTTAAAACGATATAACTCTTTCTAATCATATTAATTAGCTGCCACTGGATTTGAAAGAAATATTACAGAATTTATGAACTTCTTCCATTATTAGACGAGTCAACATTATGGATTTTGAGCCTTGCTTAAATATCAATTGACAACACAACCAAATCAACAATATATCTGCACAAGAAATATTAAAATCATCCTAGTAATATTATTTTTATTAGTATCGCAAATGTGTGAATAACAATTTGTAATTAAATTAAATTGTATTTATAGAACGGAAAATGCACATATAATGTTAAGTATTTGAAATAAAGTATTTGTTCAATGAATACAAGCTGTCTCTCATTGTATTATAATTTTCTCCTTAGCCATATGCTTTAGAATATGTATTTTTCTAAGGTAATTATAAAGAAAACAAATTTTTTAATATAACGATTATATAATTGTAATTTATAATATCCTAATTGTTTGTAATTATTGGAAATCAGTGAGAACGATCAGTTCTTATTCTTACGAGGAAATTTCATTTCGTTATTACGAAGTTAATATTTTAGTAAAAATGTATGTAATATCGTGAAAGAAGTTAAAACATAAGATTAGAGAAATGATTTTTTAAATGTTTCTTTTTTTTTTTTTTTTTTTTTTTCTAAATTCACAAAACGTAAATTGTGAAAAGATAAAAAAAAAAAAAAAAAAGAAAAAGGAAAGAAAAGAAAACGATTGAAAAGACGTCATTTTGGTCATCCGATGCAATTCATACACGTAATGGTCAGTTCAATGGTTATTATCGAGTGATATCAATCGTATAAAAATAAATCAAAGATTAATTGATATATTGCCACGTGATATAATCGTCGATATAACATAACGTCGGCTGCTTCTCCATTGTGGCTTCACTGACTCTAAGTTTTGTCCAGTCAGTGACGACAAATAGCATCGGACTTGTGATGTTAACGAACTGCGTTTTATAATTGTAAATAATTGTACAAATTCTTATGGTGAATATACGATTAATATGTTATTGAAGAACGTTTAAATATTTATGAAAAAAATTAATCATCATGGATTGAGATACGTTTAAAAAATTACACGTCTTCAAATTTAACCTCTATCTTATGCGATTAGCAAATGTTACCGAAGAGAAATTTATTCGATTGATTGTTATAATTAAAGATCGTAATTTTATAACGTAACATGAAGTTTATATGATATTTAAATAATATCGATAGTGTATATAAATGACAGTCTACATTTAATCTCCATGGCTAAAGAAAAGATCAGAAATTCTGAATCAGGCAACAAGGTAGTTATATGTATAAATTTATTACAATATATCTTTCTTTTTCTTTTCATTTAATTTCGTATCATTAACATCAATATTTTTAATCAGATAACTTCCAAAAGCGGGGAGACATATACTTCAGAGTTTGAAATCAATGAGATACCTCCTAGTGCTAGAACATTACTCACTAAAGGTTACACACAAGATAAAATTAATTTTTTCTCTAGTAAGATTGAAAAGAATTAAATTTTAATATCAAAGATATATATATATATACATATATATATATATATATATAATGTATGAAATATTTTATATTTTGTATCTTCTGTTTAGAAGCTACGGTGTCTACTCGTGGACGTTTTATGACAGAACAAGAAAAGTTACATTGTCCCAATGAACGGCCTTTATACTTATACATACAAGGACATTCAAAACATAATGTTGGCTGTATGTAATGTTATTTTCTCTTATTTAATTTTATATAGAAACGTTTGTTTTAAATAGATCATTGATTTAACAGTGGCCATACAAAAAATTAATGAAATTATTAAGACAGAACATCAAAGTTCATTAAATAGACGAAGTCGATTTACTAATGCACCTCCGCCTCTTATGAGTTTACATTCTGGAATTACATCAGTAGTAAGATATAATTTATGTTATTTATAATCTCATAGAAAATGATAGATGAAAAGATAATTATAAATTCTTTTTAAGATATTTTCTATTTGATGACAAAAAGTATATACTTTTTGACAGGAAAAGATATGCATCGGTATAGAAAATGCACCACAAGGTTTTGATTTGCGAGGAAGAATTATAGGCATTGGCGGAGCAAATTTATTATATATAAGAGGAGAGACTGGTGCAAATGTAACATTAAGAGGAAGAAACTCACAATTTATAGATCCTGTTTTAGGATCTGAATCTCCTGAGCCACTTCATTTACATATAGAGTAAGATGTTTGTCATTGCTTTATACATTTTATTATCAATATTGTTTCCATCAAATAAATTTCTGTTAACTTTTAATTTTATAGACATCCAAAACCAGAAGCATTACAAAATGCAAAACAGTTGGCAATTAATTTAATACAAACAATGCAGTCTGAGCTGCAAACTTATATACAACAACAGCCACCGCCAGTGCAATCTCAGCAGGTCATAGAACAACCACAAATACAACCATGTACTGTCTACTTTTGTTTTTGCATTTATATCCATTGAAAAGAAATATTGATATTAAATTTACTATTAAAAATTTATTATTATTTTACAGCACAGTTTCAAACTATGAATATTGGTACTTTAGGGCAGCCTAATGTCGTTACAATACAACATCAAGGTACAATTTTTGATCATACATTTTATTTCGATTATATATACGAATATCGTCTTATCACTAACTATATAAGACGACAAAATCTATATGGAATTATATTTTTGACAGATATAATACAACATCCTCAAAGTAACGTGGTAACACTACCAGCAACTATTTTAACAGCTACGGTAGCTGGTGCACCAGGTCCTGGAGTAACAGTTCCACCTCCAGGAGTACATATACCACCTCATTCAGGACCATTAGTACCTCCTAATCAACCTCAGGTATTATTTTAGTCATTTGGAAATCAGTTGTTTCATCGGAAAATCTTATCTATAGAAAAAGAGCTGCGAAGGAGGTAGCGGCTGAGGGGAGAGAGAGAGAGAGAGTCTCATTGCTTCATGTTCTGTCGATAACTTTGATGGCAAGTACCATCTATCGGAAAGAAACTCTTTTGTTGTTTCAAAAGGTAACCTGTGTTGCGTAAAAAGTTATGTCTCGTTCAAAAAAGTTTCTCGATGAAAGATGTCGCTCGTTATTAACATTATTGACGGAGTATAAAGTATTGCCCATTAATAGGGATGATGCATTGATTACATTTGTCATTTTTATTTTAAGGAAATACAAACTTTTATGCCACCACCACCTGTTGGACAAGTACAATTAATTGGGCCTCCATCAAGCGTAAGTCAAGTGCAATATCAGATTCATCCTGGACAACCGCTACAAATTCAAGGTATCCAACCAGGGTCACAAGCATCACCGCAGCCTGTTGCTCAAATGTATGTTATGAGTCAACCACCACCACAAAGTCCAGCTCAACAGAATTTCATTTCGACTGCCAGTGTGCCAGTTAGTGGGGCAGTGTCATATGTTTATACCCAACCCAGTGTACAAAGACCTGCAACACCTTCGCAAGGAATGATTGAGACTGTTAATGTTAACTTACAACAACCACCTCCAGCAACTCCTCTAAATATAACTCAACAACCGCCACCACCATTATTACATCTTCATTTTCCTCCACCTAACTTCCCTCCAAACCAACCACCACCTCCTGTGCCTCAAACTTATCAAATACAGTATCAGCAGGTACAGGCACCTGTCTCACAATCACAAGCGCAGTTCGTTCTACAGCCTGGAGAACATATTGTGCCACCACAAATACAACAGAATCATGAACAACCTCAAGCTGTAGCACAGCATATGATTCCACCTCAATTTGAGGGTCATCCTCCACAATTTCACTTACAAGTTCCACCACCATCTACTCAAACTTTTTTGGTTCCTAATGCTCAATCTCCCCAACATCCTCAGCAACCCCCATTACCTCAAGGAGGTGAAATTCAGCATCAACAGGACGAGCAAGGTCCACTGCCGCAGCCGGTACCTCCCCCGCAAATAGTGCCCCCTCCGTCAGTGGCACAAATGCAAAATTCGATGAATGTTCTTACTAGCGTACCTCCACCAACGCAGGCACCTCCTCCTCCACAAAATGCTCCGTGGCTTTATCAAGCGCAACAACCACAGCAGATACCTCACTCTCAGGGCCAGCTACAGGTAATTTCGTTCTTAGAAATAACGAAAAGAAAAATATATAAATGCAAATGGTAATGGAAATAAACGTGATAATGAATGTTTTATAACGTTTTCTTCGACTATTAGGTACAAATGCCACCTGGAAATATGCCACTTCATAATGCACCCCCGCCACAAATACAAGCGCAAATACAATATCATACTCCCCATATGCAATATCAAAATGGGCATATACCGGCCCAAGTACATTATACAGTGCAAACACCCCAACATCAACCGTTCGAACAAAAGCCAGATTCGCCTGAACAACAGAAACCTCATGGAGTGAAGAGAAGGTTTTCTGATATAGAAGGAAATCAGGTATATTTACAAATATTAATTATTCAAATGTCTCTATATGCATGGTAAATAATATAATGCACAAATAAAATCAATGTTTACGAACAGGAACCACCACCATATCAATGTGGCCCTTTACCTGCTCAACGTCATGGCACAGGGTAAGCACATGCATACGTTATTTCAGTTTGTTTATCTTAACAAATTCATATCAGTCATTTACGATAACTTGTACGCCGATAGTAGGACAATCACTTAGGTATAAAAATCAAGTTATCTTTGTGTAAAGCTGATTTAGTATAAGCAAAGTGTTCTTTGAGAAGATTAGTAACAAGAGATATATAGTTTAGTTCTTATCTTAGAAATTTTTACTTAAATAAATCTAATCTAATACTTTGCTTTCTCGCAAAGCATATCTTTTTCTTCCTATATTATTTATAATTTAAATATATATCGGCATTGGTAAAGCATTCTTTGCTTATTTAAATTTATGTTTCAATTAGTTAACAGTGCGAAGAGATATTGTACAAAATGTAGCAGGAAAGTAACAAAGGTAACATTTAAATTGAAACAATCGTATTATTGTTTGAACAAATTTTTTACAGAAACCTGCCTTTACCAAGACCGAGTAAACTTTGACGACTACATGGATTTCTTATGAAATTAAACAGATCTATGTAATAATTTTATTTATTGTCGATGAACTGACGATCGTGAAATTTCACATTTGTCGATTCACAATTTTTCTAATTATTCAGCATGTAACATTGATTATTTGTTAAGTATTGTGTTTTAGATATAATCATTATTTAATTACGACGAATTTTTCTATTACTTCAAGAAAAAAGAAACTCGATATATTCATATGTACAAAGAAATTTACAATGAATTCTTGCGATTTAAATTAAAATAATTACGGGCCATATGTCTGATTGCACATTATTGTCATATTGTCAAAATTAATGTATGGATATATAGAGTTTTATTAATGCACATAATTATAATTCTGTTATGAAAAATACATTTACATAGATTTGTTTATATCATGGGATAATTCAGTTATCTATAAGATTTGAAAAGGAAAATAATTAATAAACAAGCTTAATTGTCGTTTAAATTAAGCAGTTTGCACAATGGAGGTTTTTATATTTAAAAAGAGATTTTTGCTTTCATTGTTAATTATAAGTTCCTTCATCATCAGTAGCAAGCCAAACGTATGCATCATAAAATTAAGTTTTATTTTGTAGAATTATCCTTTAAATAATCGACATACCGTTAATACGTAATGAAATAAATTTTGATACTATTAATTATCATCTGGTGAATTCAGGCTTGTTCTTAATATTTCAGAAATAGCCATGGGTGTGCATCAGGTGACTTTTACATTAATATATGAAATGCTTGCGTCCTGTTAACAACTTAAAAATTAATGAGTTCAACTGAATTGTTTAAGCAGAGAAGGTGAACGTCAACAGCAAGTCTTACATGGTCCATCGCCAGCAGGTGCCGGCCTACCCCATGGAGATCGAAACAAGCTGCTAATGCCACCTCCACATCCAGGTCTGTAACTAAGAGTATTTTATGCGAAAAAATGCTAGATATTTTTTTAAATGTCATACCAACATAATATATTCATCACAGGGAAAGACTTTACACACGCAAATTGATTATTGTTTATGGTAGACAATTTTTATTTGCCATAAACATAAAAAAAAAAAAAAAAAAAAAAACAAATAGTATTTCAATCAAGAATAATTTTCGACCATCGATGTAAAGTCGTTCCTTTATACATTTATTCTTAATGCGTGTTTATAATTATTGAAAATAAAGTATCTAGCATTTTTTCTCAATACTCTTAGACTGTAGTGTTATTTAATGTAAATATATTCTTATAAAAATGATATAAAAAATGTTATAGGTGTTTTTTAATTTCTATTTTTTGGTAAATCGCTTCTTTTAAATTTGCCTAAATACTTTACAGATGGGCACGAGATTGACAAAAGGATTTGTGACACTGCTACTTTAGCTGCTTCAACTTTGTTTCTTATTATTTGAATTTTATGAAACTTTGCACATACTGTATGGCTACAGTAGTTGAGACTCAGGCATTCTAATTTTACTGCTTTTTTTTTTTTTTTTAGTAATGTTTCTTATTAATTACTAATTCATATTCGTATGCAAATTTGAACATTATGTAATAAGTCAAGTTTTTATTTCAGAATATCAAAGACATTAGAGAAATATGGATCTGGTCTTTTATTAAATGTATGCCGAGAATGTCGAATATAACAAACATTGAAATATTGTAATATTTTCAATATAAATTCTAGGATAATGTATCTTTCTACAGTCGGTGGAAATTCTTCCGAAAAGGGAATAGCGATAATTAATTTCGTTAACAGATAATATGAATTAAATAAAATTTCCAGAAATATCCTACCAACGAGATTATGACATTAGAGATAATTCATTTCTAATTATTTCCTGTTTATATTACAGTAAGAAATGCTGGTAAAGAAAATTAAACCGGATGAGAAGTACGAAATAAGAAGAAAGCAACATTTTCAATGAATACTTTTGTTATTAAATAGTATACTATATAGGAAAAAGTATTATTAAAGATATTTACATTTTAGTTCTATAAATATCGATCCAGACTATAATCAGGATTAATAATTATATTTTATTAGTGCAGCGTGTTTGGTACGAGCGATCATGCAAAAAAGGAGATGGAATCAATTCGAAAGACGAATAAAATTATAATTAATTTAACGATTATATCTTTAGCTTTAACAAAAGCCATGTGTTTTATTTATCGCTGGGATGCATTATCATCATATAGAAACGGACTTAACCGGCAAGAATATTTGTTTTTGCAAAATAATCTGCAAAACACAAAGTTACTTTAGCATACCTTCGTAATACTAATCGCAATATCATAATCTAAAAGCATTTTATGCGAAAGAAAATTTTTATAGTTTCATCGATATCGTTATAGTTATATTAATTATTATTTGTATTATTCAGGTGAAAAGCGTAACGTCGATCCAAAGCACACGGGACTAAATCCAGGTACGTTCATGAAATTTTTATTCTATTTAATCCTTATATAGATATAGATAAGAAATATTTACTCTTCTATAATTAGGTAATGAACCGGTATTACTCGCTGAATCCGGAGGTATGAATCCTGCGAGTGGACCACCATTACCACCACCCCCACCTCCGCAAGCACCTTGGCAATCTCATCATATCAGAGCTCCTTGGGGTAGACCTCCACCAATGCCAAGAGAAGAACATCATGCGTTATGTCCTCCCAATTTGCCACCAACGAATATGCCACCACCGCAAATAAGACCAAGAGGTATATCATAATTAATTATAAATTTATATTATCGTTAATTTATTTTGCTATTATGAAAATAGGTCCTTTAGAAGGTAATCGTTCTCCCATTCAAAACACGGTGATGGATCATCCGCTGAATATCGAGTACAATCAAATACCACCGCACGCTGCAAAACCACCACCTTACAATTCGCATCCATTGATGCAGTCTATTTGCAACCCACCACCACCACCACCTCCGCATCAACAACAGCGGCCACAGCATCCGGCGCAAACTATGCCGCCGCATTATCAAGTGCCAATCTCTCAAGCATATCAGCCACCGGCGCCGTGTCCACCATGGATGAACTAAAGTTATTTTATACGATTTTCGCGCTATATGCATGTATTAATAACGTTGATATATAAGATCCTTTATAAAGATCTCTAAAAACGTCAAATTAACGAGAATCGTTGAATGAATTCAATTTGATATCGATTTGTTCCTTGATAGGTTATATATATATATATACATATATATATACGGTTATTGAAGTATACTGTAAAAAAAGAAAGCAGTTAAGATATATTGTTCTGTAAAAATTTGTACATATTCCAGAACTTCTATCTAAGTTATGTAAGTTATAAGAAACGAATGATAAATTTATTATAAACTATAGCGTATAGGGAAAATGGTGATGTCGAACGTTCATTCGTATAGTTTTCAAAGCTTTAGAAAGATTTAGTTTACAAAGATTTAGTTTGTAATTAATCCATTAATCTTTCAATTATTACTTTTAATTATACATCTTTTCTTTTTTTTTTTTTTTTAACGATGACCCGCGGATATTATCAGCGGACTCAAAGTTAATCTATTTTCTTTTTCTTGCGCGAGAAAAATCGCAAATCGCGTTTTCTCATCAGTTTGTTGAATGATCCCACCCGTTACGGAGTATGTAATTTTTTATGAAGGCACAAATAAACAATTAACATTGAGAATCTGAGCGTTCATTAATATTAGAAATGAATTGGCGTAATCGTATTAAGTATCTCGTTAAAAAATTCTTTACCTTGTTGTTTGCAGTAACGTTATGGAGGTCGCTTTCGACGAAAGGTAAATTTAGGACGACCAAGAAAATTGTGAAACAGACGAACACGTTGTAACATAGACGATGTTGTAACACCGTCAATGATCAGAAACCGTTCTCTGTATCGTTGTAAACTGTTATCGAGCAAACATCGTTAAAGCCTCTGTGTTTTCGCTTCTAATTACTCATTGCCCTGATTAGTGTTATGACCTGGTATGCCCGGTGAAAGGAAAACGACGATCAAATTTGTTCGGCTTACGTCTATGGATTTACGCGAATTTCTAGTTCTCTATATCTTAATTGATTTTCCACTAGAAAATACAATTTACTATTTCCTTGATTCCCGATTGCTTCAACGATATATGAACAATGGGATGAAATTATATGATATTATTTCTATAAAGTGAATTTTGTGAATTTCGTAAAGCTTGTATAATCGACTTTGACAATCGATTAGAACGTTATGACGGCAAACGGAAGAAATTAATTGGATTAAAGTACGTATAACCAAAGAAAATCTTAAATATTGAAAGATATGATTGAACCTATCGAAATCATTTTTTCAAGATGTCACAAGGTTGTCCGTCGGTTTCTCATCAGCTTGCCGCTGCATCGATCGCCTTTCGTCGTGCTCGTAAAAAATTTCCGAAGGATTACGGCGTTAGATCTAAAGACAATAAAGTAAAAAGAAAAGTAACGAGGAAATTTTATTTAAAAGCGGTAACAAGTAATATACTGAATGAAATTTTCTTTTTTTTTTTTTTTTTTTTTATCATAGACCGAAATAGAATGGATCAAGAAAAACAAGAACGATCAACCTGTGAGCTCTTCGTCCGCGAAATGTATGAGTAACAACGACAAATCACAGTGTTTTTGTTCGCCGTCCGTGTACAGCGATGATGATCCACGTTATTTGTCGGCAAAACAAAGTTTATCGATTAAACAAAGCAAATGTACATGTTGCCGACATAACAAGGAATATTTCGAAGAATCTACAAGATGGTCAAACGATCAAAGTGCCGTTGGAGATGTTTTAGATAAAGTATCAACTCGCGAACAATTTATCGATGTTGAATCAAGAAAATCGGTAGATCGATACAAGTGAGAGCCTTACGATTTCCATCAAGACTGAGATCAATTTAATGTGAATTATCATTCGAATTTTTTTTTTTTTTTTTTTTTTTTACAAAAGTCACGACCTAGAAAGAGATACGAAGAATAATTTTACACATCTCACGAGAAGAAAGTGTACATGCTGTCCGATGTCTATCAAAAAACGCATAGAAAATGATCCATCGAAGTTAGATTCCATTGATCTTTTATACGTTGCATCGCACGAGAAACATTGTTGCGTTAATTCTATAGACAATCGTGGTGAGTTCTACTTGTTAGAAAATTGTAGCTTTAAAATTTATTTTTTTTTTTTTTGTTTTTTTCAAATATTTTATCGTCTAAATATTATAAACGATCGGCATTGAGCTCGATCGAACGTTTAGAAAAATATTAGTTTAGAGAAATTTAATTCGAGATCGTTTTGAATTCGAAATTTTTTGGAGACAATAATATTTCAGAGCGTCTCGCTGAAGACGAAACGCTTGATCATTTTTCACGAAGGAACCGGGACGATCAGGAGCTTCGTCGATCGTGCTCGAAATTAGATAAGTCGACGACAAGGAAAGAAGAAATCTCACCTTTGCTTCGCACGTGTGACCCTCGGTCCCCACGAGACATTAATCTCGATCTCTTACGATCACCCGAAGACCATCGGCCTCGTCTCTGTCATCGTTGTCCTGCCTGTCCTCGTCACTCCTGTCGACAACGATGCCACTTTTGTCAGCAGAAAAGGTTTCCTACTTAATATTTTAAAGGATTTCTCCATTATTTCTCTATTATATCAACGAATTTGACAATATTTTAAGTTACAACATCGAGATTTGACGATATTTAAATTACGAAAATATCTGTATAAATTTTTCAACCATATCAATCTTTAACTTTTTTCTTATGTTAATATTATAACAGGGAAATGTTTAACGTACGATATTGAAAAATTAAATAAGAACATATATTGTTCAATGGTATTAGAAAAAAAAAAAAGAAAAATAACGAAAAATAATTGAAATTGATTAAAAAGCAGTCTCGTATACGAGTACAATCCCGTAAAACTAATTACGAAGATATACGAACGTCTCTTTCTCTTTCTTTCTCTTTTTCTGTCCCTTCAAAGCGAAAGGATTTCTAATTTTCTCCCGGTCGGTTGCACGTGCCTGTCTATTCTGGGTAATCGCCGTGGCTGTTCGTCGAAGGATCACGAGAGGATACGAACTTATGGGAAGAAGGAGGAAGAGGAAGAGGAGGATGAGAATGTAGGAGTTATCGATCACAAAGATTCGATATCCATTCTCATGGAAAAGTATAAGTCGAGAGACGCGCAGGAGGAACGACAGAAAAGGAAGAATCGATCGAAGGGAAATGAAAGGACCGGCAATTGTTACGAGGAGTCGCAAACTTCGAGAATTCTCGCTCGCGAAAACAGAAAGGATTCGACGGAGGGCTTGGAAAATTCCAAGAGTTGCGATCGCTGTAGATGCCAAGAAAATCGTCTAAGATGGAAGGAACAGGAGGAAAGGGAGCAAGAGGAAAAGACGCTCCTGTTCGATGATGGCCGTAATCGGATTCGTGGCGAAGGCGATTTCTATCGAAGGAAGAAGCCTGCCCGATCGAAATTCGGAGTACCCTGGAGACATACCTTTTGACGACCCTATCCTTTGCCAGTTTACTTCCCTCTATACATATACTTTTTATATCCTTTTTTTTATCCGCAAATTTTATAAACGTCTATATAACATTTTTATCTACCCTCTTCATTATGTACATTGTATCTAATTTATTTTAATACTTTGTTATGTACTTTGAATGTATAGAATTGATAAAAAATATATTACAAAACATTTTCGTAATCGTTTGCCTTTGATCATTATTATTTCTTGTTCTTTTTTCTTTATTAAAATGATTTTAATAAAAAACAAACTACAAAATCCGATTCCTTTTCACTTTGTTGGTCTTTAGTAAAATTCTCTTCGATACGATCTAACGGGGCTTTTAAAAATTCTACCTTCAACGGTGGTCCTGCAAAGTTAATGATCGTAGCAACAGTTAATAAAACTCACAGTTAAGAAAACTTTGGTGCTTACTTTGGAAGCGTACCGGTGCAGGTGGAATTACCGAACGTGGCCACTTACATTAACCTGCCGTGTCGCTCGCAGAAGTGGCCTCATGGGGCACCTCTTGTTCTTCCCCTTTCTCCTCCTCTTGCTCTTGCTCCTCCTCTTGTTCTTTCCCTTTCTCTTGTTCTTCCTCTTTCTCTTGCTCTACCTCTTTCTCTTGCTCTACCTCTTTCTCTTGCTCTACCTCTTTCTCTTGTTCTTCCTCTTGCTCTTCTTCGTACTCTTTCTCTTGCTCTACCTCTTTTTCTTGTTCTTCCTCTTGCTCTCCTTCTTTCTCTTCCTCTTTCCCTTGTTCAACCTCTTGCACCCCCTCTTTCTCTCCCTCTTGCTCTTTCTCTTCTTCTTCTCGCTCATCTCCTTCAGCTTTTTCCTCCGCCAGCTTAATCGGCTCACCAGTCGGATCTGCGCCGTGTTCGACTCTTAGTTTTACGCTTAACGTTAACTTTTATTTCAACTTTTATACTATTCTCGGTGCGTGCGTGTGTGTGTCTATGTATGTATGTATGTATGTATGTATGTATGCGTACGTATTTGAGTTTTCCCGTAAATGAAGCGTGAAACTTTGGAATTGTGTTCTACCGATTGTAAGAAATGAAAAATATTAAGAACTCCCTCTGGAGTTTCGCAGATTTGAAATTTGTTGTGTACCCACTTTAGAAATTTTCAAATGAGTACGTTTGACAAAATATATACGAGAAGAAATTTTTAAAGAATTTTCAACCATGCAATTATTGCAATTCATATAATGCATAAAATATTTATTTATTTAAACGTATATGTACGTCTCGTTACCTTTCGTTGAAATTTCTTTAATCTCATCTACGATTTTCGATTCTTCATCTTCAATTTCCAAATGTTCCGTCACTTCTTCTCCCTCAATTGTCTCGTCCAATTTTTTTACATCCATATCATTCATTTCTACATCCATAGGTATCGTCTCCATTTCTTCTTCGTATTTTTCTAATTTTTTTTTAATCAATTAACATCGAAATACACGATTACGTATCTCGTTAAATGGATGATATTTACCTCCCGTAGAAACTTTCGTATGTCTTAAGTGATCCTTGTAAATTTGTTGAAGCAATTTGCTAGCTTTCTTCATATCCTCTCTTGTACCGAACTCCGTCGGAATGTCATCACGAGATGTCACTTTGTCGAAAACATTCTGACGTAGAACGTCGAGAATGCCTTCTACAATGAAAGACCTTGAAGAAATCACCTTTTGAATGCTGAAGGAAGTTCTCCTTATGCGATGCCTTTTATAAGCTCTCTGACGAGACGAAAGAATTAGCTTTATAAAAGCATTCATTTTACTTTTCTCCTATTACTTTTGTATTATATCATTAATTAAGTATAGTAAGATATTTAGACAGTTTTAACGTAATTAACGTATAAATAACATGAGATTTAATATTTAAAAATTTTTAAGTAATAACAAAATTAATAACATTACTTGAATGACCGTGGCGGCTTTGTTCACAATTTCAAAACTCAATCTCGAATCCTGATATACCATTTCCAACCATGCAACAGCTTGTACAGTTTGTCCGGTATCAACGATAGGATCATGCGTCTTCTCTTCCTTCTTGCTAATCTCTTGATTCGCAGCTAAAAATCACGCGAAACTAACGTTAACTTTTCTCCTTTATTTTTTTTACCAAGAGGACTCGTTAAATTTCTCACGAAAGTTTCTTCCAAGTTCTTACTCATTTGCATTCTTATGTTTCTATTAGTGTAGTATCCACGATAAGCCACCTATATATGCGTTAAAATTGATAAATTAATTTCAATAAAAAAAAAAAAAAAAAAAAAAAAAAGAAAAAAAAATAGAAACGCAAAGAAATCCTTTCGATTCTTTCTTTGAAAAGTTTTTCAAAATTTACTTGAATCGTTGGTAATGATTTTATTATTTCTTCCTGTGGGACACCAGCTTTTTTCAATATATTCAATGTATTCATCAAAGCTCTCTGCCATTGAATTTTTCCTTGGGATTCAGCAACCAACATTCTAGTATAATGACCACGGAAAGCTGCCTAATGTTAAAGAATATTTTTTTCTTCTTTCTGATTTTTCTTCAATTTTTTTTTTTTTTTTTTCTTTAGAAAGAAAGAGAGAAAGACAAAGAAACTTTTTACTTGTATAATCGTGGCTGCTTTTTCGGCTTGTTCCACATTAAATCCAGTTGTTTTTAATATATCCCTTAAGGAAATCCTCGATGTTTCGTCGAATGTTTCATCTGAACTCATTGATCATTATTATGCGAACTATTAATTGATATTAGATTATATTATTTACCTTCGTCCAATCGCTGACCCTCAATGGTATCCAAATATATACGGAACGCTTTCTAAGTAGTAAAAAAAGAATAATAATTAGAATTGGAATTATTCTAATCGTTTCATTATAAATAAACGAATAAATGAATATAATTTATGCCTGAATCCTTGGTGCTGCTGCAGCAATTTGTTCCATGGACAAGCCGGTTTGACAAAGTATAGTCATAATCGTATGACTTCCTTTTAAAATATTATTTACGACTTTCATCGTGACTGCGTAAAAGATTTAATATTTATAATTTATTTGTATCAATTAAAACAAAATCAAATTTTCTAACCTTTAGCATTTTCACGAGTAATTAGAAGAGCGTCTATGTAATCGGCAATAAATGAATAAATCTCTGTTGGTTGGGATCTCAGTACCTACGAATGATTATAGGTGTGAGCATATTTTCACAGTAATATTGTTAAAATAAAAATCTATCGTGAAATAAAAAAAAAAAAAAACAAGTATCGTGTGGTGTATACACCTCGCGTGTAATGTCGGTACAAAGCTCACGTAATCCTTCGGGGACTTTATAGATGTGTTTGGCGCCATGTTTCTGAAGCGTAACATCCATTTTTATGGTTGCTGCTTTGGCACTTTCTCTTCTTTTCCTTTTTCTCCTTTCCTTTCTTTTACTTTTTCGTTTTCTTTCTTTTTTCTTTCTTTTCTTTTTTTTTTTTTTTTTTTTTTTTTTTTTTTTTTTTTTTTTTTTTGTCGAATTGATCTTTATTGCCTCAAGTCGACGGATCCGTTCGACGAAGAAATTGTCACGAAGTCGAAGAATACGCAACTCGATTTTTAGGCCTTCCTCATTTATTTCGTGATCGAACGAACCTAACTTCGGTTCTTATTAATTCTTGTTGTCTGAATTAATTGTCTTTGGATAATATTAACCGACTAATATTCTTTTACTTTTCATTTGTTTCAATATCATTTTTATTTACAAAGTACAGACAGCGTGTGTACGTAATTTTTTTTATTCTTTTCTTTGATTTTGAGAGAATGAGAATGAGAATCGGCAGCTATCGTTCAATCATACTTCTTTCTCTTTTGTAAAGTCAAAAGCAAAGCTTCTTAGATATTCGAAAAAGATACGAGATTCGTAACTTCAAAGAACGAGCTGCTTTATATGTTGATTTTATATTTTCCTCGAGTATGCATAGAACGTGTAAAGCCTTTATAGGAATAAAAAGGACCGGGCATCTGAAACGAAAATGTTCGCGAGAAGAAAAGGAAAAAGTTGGATTTTCGTTGAAATGTCGATTCGTCGGGTTGCGTCTAGGATATCGTAGAAATTCATTTTTAGATCTTCTAAACAAAGAAGTCGACGTTTCCTTTTCGAGGCACGTGCATAAAGATTGAAAAGCAAAATAAAAAAAAAAAAAAAGAAAAAAAAAGAAAATTGTACGATCTCGAAACTTTATGGATATATTTGTAAATGGATATTTTTATCGCAGTAGATCGAGGATGTTTTGAAAATGAATTTGATTAAATCGAATTTTACAACTGTTTAAATATTATAAAGAACGTGGCGTTTGATGTTATCTATGTAAAAGAGAAAGCATAAGAGAAATCAACAGTCGTGGAGAAGAGACGAACGTTAAATTTTATTAAATTTCAACTAAAATTTACACGATGAACATTTCTGCGAATATTGTAACGCGCACGAGGAGAGATTATTAACGGTCTGGCGATCGTAACTTCTGTGTAATTCCATTAGAGACGGGAATAAAGTTATATGTGCAATGTTGGAATAGAAAGAGACAGAAAGAGAATCGTACTGTCGAAGATTTTCACGGTTTGACGAACAAGATGAAAAGCCGTTATATTACCTACGTAATAGAATATATCATTTAGTAATATGGATGTCATTTAGTAATATAGAATCAGTAATTACCTTATTTCTCTACTTAACTTGTATAACTCCTATCAAATAAGATATTACATATAATATGATAAATGCAGAAAATTTATTATCAAGTATTATAAAATACATTTATCGTTTTCAATTTATAATGGCTAATAAATTAACATTTACAGTTAGATTTATAATTAAAATTTATACGTTTAATACAACGTTTATATAATGTCCTAATATAATGTTTGACCAGGTGTTGCTGTTTCTATTAAAAAAAATCTTTATTTACATATTTGTTCTTATCATTACTAATACATAATGATAATGCCTGACAATAAAACAAATTGATTAAAGGAATAGAGATATATAAGAATAAATCATTAAAAAATAATAATTTTAATCGTAAAGTTTTATGCCATTGGCAAAATCCGATCGTTAATCTGAGATATTCAATAATTTTTAAATTCAATAAATTTTAATAATAAATTTTTAAGTAATGGTATCTCGCTTAATAAACGAGTTTCTAGTTAGTTATACATCGAAGCTTTGTGAGGACATTCTTATGGTGGTCATACGTTCGTGAAAATCGATCGCGAATGAACCATGATCGCTCATTGTCTACTCTCTATCGTAGTTCTTTCGTTCTTGATCATCCTACCGTCATCGCGTGAGTAACTTACATAATTCATACCGAACATAATCGTATCTGTTATCGTTCAATCATATATTTATCTTGTTATATTTTCTTTGCGAGCTTCGAAATCTTTATTTGTTATATCCAATAATATGTTTCGCAAAAGTTACGTTCATCTAAAAGTATTATAAAGTATTGATTTTCTTAATTATAGTTTTTTTAAGCGTCACTATAATCGATCATAAATTTAAAAAATTTATTTATATTTTGTGAATCATTAGCGTAACAAACTTGAATTATACTGATCTATCGAGCTATTAGAACGATGTCTAATTTATTGTTGATCATCCGATTTGCTACTAAATTGCACTAATCGTTAGTTAATATCGTATAGATTTTGATATCTCTCATATTGCCTCGAGTATTATATTGATTCAACGTATCCGTATTTAATTATTATAGGTAGATACGTACGAATGGATCGTCAATAAAAATATACTAATTAAATTTTTACATGATCATGGAACTTTTAAATAATAAATAATTTTTCTTCTTGTTATATTAATCTAAGGAAGGATTAATCTAAAGAAGGAGTAAAAAGATATGCCAATTCTCGTTTCGTATTTCATGATTATCAAGGAGGATCACTGAGAGAACCAAGTTTCGCTTTTGGTCCTCCATCATATAGAGGCCCTTCTGGCTCTTTGGTCCTCCGGATGATCCTACGAGCATTAACGTGCTACCGAAATTTCGAGGTTCACCTAGAGGACCTACTCCTGATAGAGGCCTATCAAGACGATGGTAGTCTTTTATAAACGAGGTAGATCCTTCGTATTGCAACAAAGGAAAATTTTCAAATTGACAAGAAAACGACAGAATTGACAATGAAATATCTGGGCAAGATAACGAGCAGATTCCTATATACTAAAAAAAGTAAAGGTAACTTACAAAATTTCTTATCGATATTTTTTTCTGAAATATATTGTACCTATAATGTACATTTTGCATCTGTCTGCTTGTGTATGTTAATTTCTGTTGCACGCCAACCATAGATCAGACAAGTTTTAATGTGGAAGTAGAGAATATTTATCAAATAATCTAAAATACGACGGTAAATCCGATTGTCGTAATAATAGCGACGAAACTAACTACGTTACATTAGTGTTTAATAATAAATTGAAAAAAATTTTTTAGACCGAAAAAAATTTCATATATTTGTATAATTGCAATGATGGCCAAACGACAAATATAATATTTCAGTTTAGTACGAGGGAATTAAAAAAAAAAAAAAAATTAACTTCTTCCATCTTCGATGTTTACGAAGATAAAAATAACATTTCGTATTATTCAATCACCATGGCGAGAGTAGTTATAAACCTCTGGAGTTGTTCTTCGTAGAAATGTTTAACGAGCTACGAGCGGTTATCGTGCCAAGCCAGCGAAGAATCGCGGTAGAATCATCGCGAATAACACGCGAATAAGCGGTTTGCAATAATTAATCAGCCGCGCGTGCGGCTTACGTGTAATTTGCAGACCGCCAAGTCCCACGGATGGATGTATTCTGCCTAAACAACCTGACGGTGGGCAGTAACGTGTTAGGTGGATGCGGTGAGCCCTGTAGACTGAAAGCAAGCGATAAAGTCCCTAGGAATAGTATTCTCACTTACTTCTGTAATGGTAATTACGTGCTCAGTGGGAACACCATCACCGTTTGTATAAATGACGAATGGTAGAACCCGCCTACTTGTCAGAGTAAGTGATCAAATTGTTCTTTACGATGCTTCAACGCTTTGTCAAACGATTTCTTTCATGTCTTTTATTTATAATGAACTAAACTAATAAATCTTATAATAGATATAAGATTTTTAATAATAAATATTAAATACTAAGTGATAATTTATGGGAATGGGAAAATAGATTAATGAAATTAAATAACATTATCTTTTCCGACATCGTACGTTCAGAAACGTGTTCACCTTTGGAAAGCATCACCATCGATATCTCGTGTACTTATCAGGGAGAGACCGTACTGTGCAATGAACGGGCAAGGCCAGGAACACGAGCAAAGCTCTCATGTAAACAATCTTATAATTTACCACCCCACAGACGACCGAGTCTATCGGGAGATCGTCCGCCTCGACGATGCTCTTTGGGATCGTAGACTCTTCAGCTGCTTGTCAGGTAATTTACCTTCGAGATAGATATCGGTCTGTCTATCTAACCAAGATATGTTAATACTAATAAAGTTCTTTCGAAAATAGTTCCGTATTAATATTCTCGAATCCTTTTTAGAAAATGAAACGAACATGGCAATATTCTTATTGTCAATGGATATTAATGGAAAACTCGACCTTTTTCTGTGGCACGTTGGTTTATATTAGAGCAAAGCTAAAAATAGCTACAGTCAAATATATTGTGAAACTCTCATGAACAATAATCTGTAATATCCGGTAACTATGTTATATATAATAAAAAAAGAAACAAAGCGGAAGAGAGAGAGAGAGAGAGAGAGAGAGAGAGAGAGAGAGAGAGAAAGGGAGAGAGAAATAACTGAGAAAAGGATGAAGTTAAATTTTGTAAAATATCGTCGATAAATTTTCCATTCCAGCCGCGCATTGTTTCTATGACGAGGTATTCTCCAAAATCGAGGACACGTCTCGCTACTATGTTGCTGTCGGCAAGTATTACAGGAGTTGGGAACCTAGAGAGAACTATGTTCAGAAAGCACCCGCTGAGAAAATCATTTTGCCTGACAGATACATAGAAGAGAGAGGAAATTTTGCTCAAGATATAGCTCTCCTTAAATTGACTAAGCATTTCGAGTTAACAGTCTTGATTAAACCGATATGCCTTGATTGGGATAACATTTACGAGAAAGTACAATTACGAGTGGGCAAAGCTGATAAGATAATTAATCGTTCGATATTCTATATAATTAATTATGTGTCTGTTTAAAGGGTCGTAAGATATTTTTCTTTTTTCTTTTTTCTTTTTTCTTTTTTTGTCAAAATTAAGCCATAGATTGGGATAAGACTCTCACAATGGAACGTAGAAGAGCGAAAGAGATTAATTTGATCCTTCGTATCTTACGATCAATCCTTGAATTCCGTGCACGAATGATTTTTATGATTATATTATGTACGACAAATTTCGCGCAGTATATTTAAATGGTACATTAATTATCTTAACGTAACGAACTCGTTCATTAATCCAACATAATATCTCGATAATATCCAACATAATAATCTCGATAAAGCTAAATCGTACTATTTCATTACGCGCATCGCTTCATTATACGTTATTAATATATTCTTCAATATCTTTGGGAGAATCTCGGAAAAAAAAAGTTGAATGATTAATCGTCCATGTCAATTATAATATAATCATGATAATAATGATGCCGAGATAATGGTTTTGTCGATCGAAGAAACAGTAAATAGTAATTAATTATTCATTCGTCTAGAGGCCGGTACTTTGAACGATTTTTCGTTGTTAATTATTTTCAGAGAGCTACGGAAATAATCGGCTATAATTATTTATTGGAATATTATTATCGTACCTGATGATAGACATCATTTTATACTTCATACTTTATGGATAAATAGACGACAGGTGAGCGATTTAATTAAAGAGATATTCGATTTACTAGGTATGAGTTTATACGAGGGAGACATTATAGGAGGACTTTGTTTTGAGATGCATGGAATTTGGTATCTTCATGGTGTCGTTAGTGAGGAACAATACCTGTGATTATTACTCTTACATCGGGTTCACCTATGTCAGCTACTTTCGTGATTGGATACTATCCATCCATCTAGTGACATAAAGGATCTAACTACATATGAATCTTAATGAAATTGCCTAAGAATTCGACAGGGCATTGATAAGTTTTAAATCAATTATATTTATACCCAGATGTAGAGAGAGAGAGTGAGAGAGAGAGAGAGAGAGAGAGATAAAGATTGATAGATTAGTAAAGTTCCTAATATGACAATTATAATTAAAAGATCGATTTTCTAATCGAGTTCATACGATGTACGAATTTTTTTTTTATCAAAGTAGATTTACACTCCGAACGATTTATCCTGTAAATAAGTAATATGTGATTAATAATGAAGTCGTTTAAATAAGGATCACGTTTAACCACCAAGTTTTTCTTTTTTCTTCTTCTTCTTTTTTTCCTTTTCTTTCATAATTTACACCGAAAAGAACGAGCGAAAAGTTTGAAAGAAACGAGAGCATAAAATGAAAGTTTCTAACGAAATATCGACGTAATTCCATTTCTCTTCCCCCCACCTCCTATGATTTTTTTTCTTTCTTTCTTCTCGTTTTTTTTCTTTCTTTTCTATTTTTTTTTTTTTTATTTTTTTTCTTTATGCCCGTGAGTTTCTATCCGATTTTGCAAAGTCGCATTCGCAAACAAAGGGACGGCGAATAAACCGCATCGGTTTGCTCGGACTATCCGACAGAAATCTAAATTAGTAACCTATCGTTATTTATAACTGTCGCCTGTATCGGTACGCACAACGTAGAGTCACTCGAAAACTTTTTCTCGATCGAAATATCAAAAGCATGTATTACTCATTTCCCATAGGTACTTTCCAACGAGTATCGGAATTATCTTCGATGTTATCGATATTCCACGATCAGATTTTGTTTTATGAGCTCATACTATTCTATTCTTTTATTTCCCTCTTCTCTTTTTCTATCTATATGATAAATTGAGTAGGACGGCTTTCGTATTGACAGATCGATGATTTTTTTTCTCTTTCCTTTAAATAATCGCTTTATATCTTATTAATAAAATCGAAATGTAATATTATTTATCAGGATGTAATATTATATTAATTATCGAACGGAAATTAATCGGTTAATCGAACGTAGTCGGGTATCTGCTCATGGTGCATTGAGAATTGAAGCAAGCATAATTTAGTAACGAAGCTTAATCGATGGACGACGGTAACGATGTATGCAATTTATTAGCATTTGATTATTAAATTAGAACATCTGCAGGTAGAACCTATGTCATTGTATAGGATGTGAACATCCATCCGAGTCGCAATATTCGCTAATACATATGTTTGTTTCTGGAAGAGTCGCGTTTGCTTTTCGTATGATTCATGCGTTAATGGGGATGTGTAGGTTTACTAGTCGGTAAACCTCAACGCGATCGACGAAATTAGGATAGTTTGAAGCATTCCTATTCGTTCTAGATATTCATCGATGATATTTATAGATAATTTATAAAGATTTTTATTAATCATATTCTATATGTTATTTTTAACTCTATCGGAATAAAACTGTGTCACTAAATTTTACATACTATATTAGCTAATAATTACGTCCTTACAAGTTCCTCAATTTTGTTGAGGATAATTCGATGATGAAAATGAAATTATGTTCTACTTCATTTTCCATTAATTAATAATGAATTAATTAGAACGAGCACCTAGTTAAATTTTTTATCTTACGTTAAAATAACGCGATGGTCGTTCTTAGATCGTTACGATATCGCTGATGTTTCATATAATGAATTAATAATTAATTTTGATGCATTTAGATCGATGTATTCGATATAGATATTTATACGCATTTTATCTTTCAATTAACCGCATTAAATAATAACGCAATGGACTAGATCGACCTTCTTTCTTGGAAAATAAATTCGTTCGATGAGCTCTAATGTAATTCATATGTTAATTAATTTTTTATTTGATCCTTTAGAAGATTATAATAAAAAAGAGATATCAGGCGGATAAATTGATAATAAACAAAGGTATATTTTACGACTATAAACAAATACGTAATTGTCTTTGAAAAGATTTTGACGTCGTTGCGTTCAAAATTAATATATTTTCCTGGTTAATTTGATCTTTCAATGGACGACTTGAAAACTCCCTAGTTCTATTCTTTTCTAATGGGTTCTAGATGCTTTATCTTTTACTCTTACCTCTTCCTCTTCGTTTCTCAGGAACAGCATCAACCACGCGTGTTCCTCTATTCCGCCACCTGTGCAACATGCTTCGCATCGTTGTCGAGAGCTGCTTTGCTACACTTGAGGAATTTTAATTTCGCTCCAACGTGTAAACACGCTGGCGCCAATTTATTTCACCACCGGGGGAGCGTTTTAAAGGGCACCGTGCATTCTCTCTCTCTCTCTCTCTCTCTCTTACTCTCTTTCCTTCTCTCTTTCCTTCGTATACTCTTGCTCTTTCTCTCTCTCTCTCTCTCTCTCTCTCTCTCTCTCTCGTTCACGGTACCGCCCTCATTCAGCTTCCGCTTGGCGATTTACGACGATGCGGAACAGCCCTGGGGGCTTCGAAAAAAGGAAAAGAAAGAAAAGCTTTCGTAGACGTGAAAAGAAGTCGAAGGTAACACCGCGGAAAAGTGGCTATTTTGTATCTGCGGTAGTTAGACGGAAGATTAATGTCCCGCCAAATGTATAGAATTATCTTTTGATTCCTCTCTCTCTCTCTCTCTTTCTTTCTCTTTCTCTCCCTCTTTCTCGCTCTTTCGCTCTCTTTCTCTCCTGCTCTTCTATTTTTTCCCGTTTTATTCTCGATAAACTCGATTTTTCTTTCTTCGGTCTTTCCTTTCCTCGATGTTATATGAAAATTAGGTCGAGATACGAACGAACTTTTATTGGTTTCTCGATAATAAGTTGATTTAAATGAAACTCGTGTGTATAATCAAGTTTTTCCAAATAAACGAATCGTCGCATTATATTTTTAATTATGATTACGTCAAGTTTATTAAACTCTCGAGTATTTTCAAAGTTAATTGTGCTTAACGCCCGATACTTTCTCGATAATTGCGCTTCCGGATGATCATTTATTAACTAGAAAATTTGTCAAGTCCCAAGTGGCGAACTGCGTATTCTCAAATGAGCGTAATATAGGTAAATTTATATACAAGGGCTTGAAAATATTTCATTTTCATAAATGACGCTCAATATATAAATAATTTTATAACGAATAACAAATTTGTTTATCTCTCGACACGATGACCATCTCATAAAAAGATACTTTGTTATTCTTATCGTGACTTTGAAGTATGAATAATATCAAGCTGAAATCAAAGTAAACTAATTAAGGATGAGATACTATTCTTTAAGTTTTATCCCGATCAAAGGTGTCACCATTGTCTTGACGATAAATATTACAAATCAATGCTGCGAGAACGAAGCTAAGAGTCGACGCTTTTTCCTAAAAAAGAACTTTTAATATTGTCGAATATACTTGGTAGTGGTATCGTAAGAAAGATAAAGCTGTTTTATCATCTTTAATTGCTATTACAGAATAACCAGGTCAAAAGCCTCAAAAGACTCGCAAATGCTCGAAAGAAGGGACAAGTATATACTCGGTGATAATTTAACTCAACCTTTACAAGGAGTTTCTCTCTCTCTCTCTCTCTCTCTCTCTCTTCCTCTTTCTCTTTCTCTGTCGACCTTATTCTTTGTGAAATCCTTTAATGGGAATTC